GAGATGTAATTCCTTGGGTTTCACAGCAGGAACCGGGGGGGGACACACGACGGGGATGGGGGGGGGGACCAACCTACACAAGCCAGACACCCCGGGAAGGGAAGTCAGCACTTGTTCTCAGCATTCAGAGCTCATGCATCAGACACACACGTCTTTTTTAGATGAATATGCCAGATTACAAAAACTGCTAACTGATGACTACAGCCAAGAACATGCTCTGAAGCAAGGAACAGGTTCCAACATAGCTATCAGTTAGCGTGTGGTGCACACCCAGCAAAGAGACCTCGCTCAGCAAAGGTACAAAAGAGAGTTTTCAGAGGTGCCCAAACAGGAGCGGGCCTGAGAGCCTGGCTTCCCAGGCTCACCTTTGCAGGGCAGTGGGGACCAACAGGAAGGGAAGGGCCAAGTTCTGTAGTACTTCGAGCTTAGCAGCTTCTGGCTGTAAGCCAGACGCTCACCATCAAAAGGAAAGTCACAGATGAGCCGTCCTGGGTCATAGTAGCCGGAAATCTCCAGGAACATGAGCAGCTTCTGCCGGTACTCTCCCAGCTCCCCGCCTTCCTCTCCAGCAGGAACCAGGGTTTTGCCTTTCAGGAGAACCAAGTCAACAGGAAAGGAGCCAGGGACAGCGATGTGGACTCAGCAAGTGAGTGTTGCCACCACACACAGAAGGGTTTCTACCTTACCATCTCTGTGGCCCCAAACAACAGCTTACAGTGAAAAAAGGCTAAACAGAAATACTGATAGGTCAACCAGTTTCTTGTCAGCATGGCTGTCATCTTATAGACAGAGAGACGTCCCTTCTGTCCACTCGTATGGATGATTCTCAGAGATGGCCAGACCCAGAAAAGGCCTTTTTCCCTGAGTCTCATGTGCTGGGCCTGGGTCACCAGGGATCCAGCTCCCGGAAGGGACTCCTCACTGCTTCCCGTTCCCCCCCAGCCCCCGCACCCTGCTCTGCCCTGTCTCCAAGGCCAGGGCTACTGGCTCTGGGGCACTGGTACCTGCAGGGCAGGACAGGAGGTACTCCTTCATCAGCCCTTGCACCTTCTCGCAGTACAGCTGGATCAGGCGGTTGTGGAAGCAAGAGTCTGTCTCTTCCCACACATGGATGATGTGCTCCTGCGGGGGGAGTGGGGCTGTCCAGCTGCTGCCCTCCCTGCAGTGACCCAGCCTCCCGGGCTCCCTCATGATTTTAAAGCCCAAAAGGACCTATCCACATTATCCTCTAACCAAGCTGCCAAGATTCCCAAGGGCCAGCTCTTCTGAAACCAAAGGGAAACCCCACAATCCAAATCAGCAATTTCAGGAACCGTTCTGTTCAATTTCCAATCTCAAATCCTTTTAATTTTGTCCTATAACCCCTCAAGCTCTTATATTAGCCCATGTAATTAAGGCTAAATGTGTGCATTCTGGTGCTTAAAACCTATTTGATTATCCTGGGCTTACAGCATAGTTTGGCTACATAGATGTGACTGATTCTTTTCTAATGTATTTTTTTCTCCTCCTGTAGTTTACTAGATTCAGAAGGTATCACTAACGGTAACATTTCCATCTGGGCTTCTTAGATCTCTTTTTTTGGAGGAAGCTGAAATAACCCTTTTCCTTACATTTCCACCAGCCCCAAGTGACACAGACCCCAACTCTGAACTGTCTCATAACTGAGCCCCATGGTCCTGAATCCTGGGTTTAAAGCTTTTTAGTGCACATCAAAAAATATCTTACCAGATAAGGAACAGCCAGACTCCTAAAATTCTCTATTAAGAAGCCAAGCACTCGATCTCGGGGTAGAGCTTCCACCTCTGGAAGATCTTCAGTAAATATCTGTCAGAACATGCTCAAGTTCTCGAAGCTGACCACTTGACTGTGGTTCTACTGAGCCCCTCAGGCACGCAAAGGAGGAAAGACTTGGAGGGGAGGGTTCAGGAGAAGCAGCCGTAGCTGCTTAGTGTGTAGAAACTGGGCCACAGATCTGTCAGCCCCAGGGCAAACTACTCTATTCTGCTGAGTCACATGGAATGGCAGAAAGCTAACCTCCCAGAGCCCCTCCTATGGCTGTCCTAGGAACAATCAAGACCAAACCCCAGGGACTCTGAGACCCACCTTCAGGCCATCTTCTGGGAAGTCTCTCAGCACCCACACTGAGTAGGAAAAAATCAAATGCAGGTTTTCTGTGCCTAAAAGAAAAGCAAGGTTTCAGCACTAGAATGGGACCTGTCCAATGGGACCAGGCGGGCAGGAGTCCAGCTGATTCCAGAGCTCATGTCAGGACAAGATAGTCCGTTGCAGCACTGGGCACTTGGGGCTGCTTGTCCTCCTGGGCTGCCCACATGCCAAGGGGGTAGAAGAATGAAGTGGGGTGAGCACAAGAGAAGGGACTGACCAGCCAGCCAGAGATGGAGAACAGAGCCACTCCTGCTGATTTTGAAAGGTGACTTACCCAGGTGCTGCAGGTACTGCACTGTCCTCTCGTGTCCCTTCAGAGGGGAGTTTGCTTTCTTGGACTGGTCCACTAGCACCTGTAGAGCTGGCCACAGAGCCCGAGAACAAGGTCATGAGCCTCTTCCCCAGGGGAGATGTAATTCCTTGGGTTTCACAGCAGGAACCCCAGATCCCCGAGCCCCCTCCCCTAGCACCTTTCTCATGGAGCCCCTTCTTTTCATACAGGATTATTAGCTCGCTGTACTTGTGAGCCTTCTTTAACACATGTTCGCTCTCCTCGATGTGGCAATGGTTATTCTCCAGGCGCAGCAAGGGGGCCACCAGGGCCACATTTGTCTAGGGATGGGCATGGGAGAACAGGACTTCAGTAGTAACTGTTGCCTGGGGAGCCCCACCCTCCCTAGCCCAGGCCTGCTCTAGCTGAAGGCCAAGAGAATAAGACAAATACAAGAGAACAAACGACCCAGGGGGGTAGGGAACTAAAAGAACAAAGATACATTAAGTCCATGATGAATGTGATCGTTCTGTACTGCAAATGTGTACTAATCTGTACTAATAATAACAAAATTTTTGAAGGAGGAAGAGGAAAAAAAAGATGAAAGAGGAGAAAGAGGAGAAGGAGAAGGAGCAGGAACAGGAGTGGCAGTGGTAGCGGCAGCAAACCCCCCTTTTAAGACCGGTAATAGCTTTAAGAGTACTTACACCTTTCTATAAAACGTGTCTCAATGTCATATAGGGAGAAGGGGACACCTGCTTTGAGAAATTACTGTTCCCACTGACCTTGTAGCACAAATCTTAATCTTACTACAAAAGAATAGCCCCTGTAAGAATCTGGGTTAGTATTTTACTTATCCTCTCAATTCCAAGAATTTCACAGGTACAGGCCTAGCTGATTAGCTCTTATCATCAGAGGCTTCTTAAGCTTCTTAGCCTCTGATGGTCCCCTACAGTGTAGCATTTGCTCCACAATCCTTGAGTGTCAGGGCCCCAGGCCACTCACATGGAGGTAGCACTTGAGCAGGGTGGTATCGATGATCTGCAGCAGCTTCTTCTTGGATTTGATGGTGGGAGTGCCTTCCATGAGTGGGGAGGTGCTGGACTGGTGGTCAGAGTCATTCAGCTTCTTCACCAACTGACTTCGTTTCTGCAAAGGCCAAACATGCGGGGTCAAGGCCAGGACTGAGTCAGCTCTCTTCTGTTATCCTAAGCTACTGGGTAACTCAGAATATCTCCAAAGCAGCTCATGCCTATTGACCACGATTGCACATTAACATTCAGTTTTTTAAGGCTGGGGAGGTAGCTCAGGGGTGTAAGTCCCTGCTTGGCAAGTGCAAGGTTCTGAGTTCAATCCCCCACAAAACAAAACAAAAACAAAACAAAATACTGAGTTTTTCTAAGGAACCAAACTACTGGCTGCCAAACTGCCAGATACAATGACACAATTTATCTGTTTATTTTCAATAGTCTTTGCCCATTCTTTTTTTTGAGACAGAGTCTCTCTGTACAATTCAGGATGGCCTTACACTCACTATGAAACCCAGGTTGGTCTCGAATTTGCACTCCACTTGCCTAGTCTAATTTACATATGTGGACTCAACCAGTGTACATTTTTTCTTGCATTTAGCAAAGCCCTCAGTCTTAGATGTTTTACTCTCTCTGTGGCACAATCATGGTGTTAACTTCATGCATTCCTAGTACCAGTGCAGGAAACAAGGAAAGTGTGCATATGATAAGAGGGCTCCCCACAATACCACAGACCTTGGGGCAGGTCACACTCCAGGAACCTTTTCCACTTGGCCCAGGGATGTACAGTGTGCAAGCAGAGGTCAGCGTGCATGCTTCTGGCAGCCCACTAGCCTCAGCTGGATACCCAGGAGCCCAATGCCCAGATTGCCATGCGCAGGTGTGCCCATCAGACCTACAGGCACAGTGACCCGGATGCAAGGAACAGAAGGCACCAGTACAATTTTTCCAGAATATTTCCTATGCCTACAGGAACCTCTTAGTCAGCAGAACACTTATAGGAACTAAACAAGAGCCCTGTGTAAGAAGCATCATGTACGGGAACCTAATAACCCCAACCAAAGCAAACATTAAAAGAAATAACATGCTAAGACAAACAGTGTCAACAGGTACGAAACAGGTAAATCGGGAACCAGAGGAGCGGGAAGGGGATTTAAGAAAACAAACTATAATATGTAAATTAACTATTCTCCAAGATGATTGTAAACTGCATGAATCACAAACATATACTAATAAAATAAAATAAAATTAAGTGAATTTTTACGTAACCAAACTCAAAACAAACAAAAAGAGCCTGTATGACAGAAACTGCAGGTTAGGTTAGGAAGCTTCAATGGAGACTTTAGTTTTAATGTTGACTTTAAAATTTCACTTAACTATCCATAAACTAAAAAATGATTTTAATTCCAAAAAGCATGTTATAAGAAAATATTTATTGATAAGAATTTTCTCAATATACTGTTTAATTTTAAAAAATAAGCTATAAAACAGAATTTATAGTTTGATGTGCATTTGTGACAAATGAATCAGTAAACGTACATAAAAGTAGCAGGACTTGGTGGTTTACTCCTACAATTCCTGTACTCTGGGAGGCTGAGGCAGGAGGATCTCAAGTTCAAGCTTAGCCTGGGAATGCAGTGATTCAGTGAGCCCCTGTATCAAAATTTAGAAATTAAAAAAGGGGGTGGGAGTGGTATGTGGCTCAGTGAAAAGGCCCTGGATTAAATCCCCAGGACTGCAAAACATAACTACATAAATAGTGAAAATAAAAAAGTTAACAAATAAATACTCATAAACATCTAAAAAGGACAACACAGCCCAATAACTAAACTATTAATAAACCTAAAAACTATAATAAATAAAGCTATTATAATAAGGAAACTATTAGTTACTTACCTTTGAGGATAGCTATATAGCAATTCGTATTTCTGCTTTGTACTTTTCTGTTTTCATAGAGCCAGTATTTTCCCCATAATTACGTATGATACAAAAAAGTTTGTTTTAAAACATTTAGCTCTCTTCTATGAACTAAAATATGCTTGGTGGTCCTACAATAGCTTAATGTGAATTTACTAGGAATTCCGTAAATTTCTTGGTGTCAGGATTTGGCAAAACATAGCTCGATGGTACTTGTCAATCTGGGGGAACAGTGCCCCACACAGACTTTAGCAGCATCCATTCATAGCATGCTGGCAGCATTCCTCAAGGCCCGCAATCCAGGCTGGAGAGAAACCTGGATGAGTGAAGCTTTAGGCGAAGTCTTCCTGCCCCTTCGTGGTACCTACCTGCGTCAGGTAGTCGATCAGCGCTAAGTGAGCCTTCTCCAGCTCAGCCCCCGAGAGCACGGGCAAGGGGTTGGGGTACTGCAACTGCTTCCTGTAGTCTGTGGGCAGCAGGTCGGGGTACAGGCCCATCACATGGGTGGGATCTACAAGAAAGGCCAATATGAGTCCTCCGCACAGCAGGTTAACAACGAGGATGAAACAGGATGACAGCAAAGTAACCTCTAGACTGATTCTTTTCTCTTTTTTTTGAATGGAATGCTTCTGTGTTCAGAGAGACTCAACGAGCTGTGCATACAATTTAAATATTATACATACATTTCACTAAAACATTATAGAAATGGCATGGCTATCTTCCCAGGTACAGACACATCCACAGAATTAGAAATGAATGCATATCAACTCTCTAAAGTAGAATATACAAAACTTTCAAGAAAAAAATGGATGATATTGAAATGTAAAAGATCAACACTGTTTATATGTCAAAAAACAAATATTATGCAGGGACTGGGGTTCAATCCTTGGTATGCCCCGCCGGCCCCACTCCGGGGGCAAGCTGACATGGCTACTGAGGCTGGGCGTCATGGCGCACCTATAATCCCAGCTCTTGGGAGGCTGAAAACAGGAGAATCACTACAAATCCAATCTGTATAGGGAGATCCTGTATACCCTGTACTAAATACATAAAAATAGTAAAACAACAACAAAAACAAATACTAGTTTAAAAAAATAAAACCTGGGCAACAGGCCAGAGAATGTATTTGTAATATACATGGAAAAAAGTTAATGTATTGATTATCCAAAACCAGGCTGAGGATGCAGCTTGGTGGCAGAGCACTCACCTGGCATGCATGGAGCCTGGGTCCAACCCCCAGGGCCACCAAAACAAGCAAGACACGTTGATTACATTAAAAAAAACTCACACAGACGTAATGAATTTAAGATTTTGTTTGCACAGAACTGACAAGAGAAAGAAAAAAAATAAGCTTTGCTACATTAAAAATATCATGTCAGAGGTGAAAATTTCTTTTTCACTCTTTAGAATTCCTATAATCTCATGGCTGCTCAGAGACATAAATGGATGCCCCCTGCCACGAGGACTGCTGACACTAGGCCCCTGCAGGGCCAGGCTACTGCCTGTGACGGTGTGCTCAGAGCCCACTCCCACTTCTTTCCAGGCTCCTTCCTACCCAGGAACAGTGTGAAGCACCTTCTCGCACTGCCCTGCGGCTCTGCCAAGGAGAAGCATAAGTGTGAGTGCTCGAAACTGGCAGTGGGACAGAGTTCTCTCTCTCCACACTGAGCTGCCTGCAGCCAGCCTTGGCGCGCCCCAGAGTCTAGTCATCCCCAAGTCTAGTGGTCCCCAAGCCTATGAAGCCCCACGTCTGGTCATCAGCACTATCCTCATCCAAAGTGCTCGCCCAGACCCATCTACTGTGACTACTGCCAGCCCTGTGGGACACAGGCAGCTGTGGGGCCCAAGCGGAGGAAGCTGAAGCACCTGCGGGCTCCAGGTCACGGGATGTGGCCAGGAAACCAATGTCCAGCCACAGGCACCTGTCCCCTACTCCTCCAACTCATCCGTCCTGTGTACACTGCAGTAAAATAGATACCAACACAGCATTATCATTTTAACCACCAGCAGGCGGACATTTAGCTGCACTGCTTCTATTTGCACTGCTGAACAAACTTCACCACCATTCAAAGTTTCCATCATACCATGAAACTCTGTACCCAATAAACGGTTGCTCCTCCCTGATCCCAATTCCCGGTAACTTCTGTTCTACTATAACAGGATATGTTGCTTAGCACACCACCTCACGGTTCACCTATTCTGTGGCATATTGGAAAGCATTTTGTCACTGAGAGAACAATGGCAGTATTAGGGGACACTGTATCTATCAGTCTGTGCACAATTCTCCCTAGCTTGCTTAACATTTGACCATGAGCAAGAGTCTCACACCAAGACCTAAATCTTACAGAAAGGTGTTGTTTTAGTACAAGCAGCTGCTATCTAGCAGCTTCAAGGACCATGATGTTTTCTACTAAATTGAGCCATCTGGGGAAGCTGACAGTACAAATGAGGCCAAGGTTTTCCCGTGTATTTTTTTGT